AAAAAAGTTTGTATCATGAAAACTTTCTAATAGAATAATTTATTTTTCTGACTTCCATCAGAGTTATAACTTTAACAACTCTTAAACTGTTTGGAAAAGTGAGACCTAATTTACTTTTTTTCAAATATTAGAAAAAAACTACTTGAATCTTTAATTTCCAGACCATTTTCCAGTGCATGCAAAAATCGAAAATTGATGAATTATTAACTTTTAAGTTTTTGATATACTTAATGGCTGTTCCACATCAATAAATTTTAGAAAATTTTTTTTTCTCCTCATACATGTAGTTATAGCATTGGTAAAACATATGGTTATTTACGAATGTATCTTTTTAATTTTTTTACTTTTGATTTTTCCTGTGTTGGTTAAATCTGCTCGGATGTACAGAATAAATATTCTGTGTACAGAAATTTAATACCTACTTTTTTGGTAGAAAGTTCCTTATATTTAAAATAATACACTTAAATATAGATTCGAAATTCGATCCTTTTAGACCCTTCAATGGTTATTATCTTCCCTCATGTCTTTGTTTTATAATAAATTCTGCATATTACGTAATAATGAAGATATATGGGTAACTCAGACCAACAAATAAGTTTTTGCTCCCGACTCTTCAGAATCATAGCAATAATATTTAAATGAAAAAAAAGTGTTCTCACTTTTATCAATATAAGTCATTGTTTATACCCCGTCATCATATTTTAAATACTCTAAACGTAATTTAAAAATATTTACGTTGACTTTACATAGATAACCAAACGAAACTTTTCGAATTATAATATTGATATTTGTCAATGAAAGCTATACTTAAAAATAGCAAATTATTATTCTAATTTCATATTTAAATATTTTTAAAGGACTGTTTCTACCCTCTTACGTCATTTTTTCTCTAAACGAGTGTACATGACTCAAACAAACATACGCTTAGTTCACTTAGTTTTTCATACAATTTTAGCACGTTCAAGAATGGTTATAACCCCTTACACCATACTTACATTATGCATTGTGTGTACTCTGACGCACTTCCATTCTTCTTACAAAATTTTAATAGATTTTTAACAATTACAGTAAAAAAACGTAAATTTAAAACGTATTTTTAAATCCTTTTTTAAAATAAATGTTCAACTTACCTGAGTCCATTCTTTTTGTAATTCTTGCAGCATACTTGGTGTTAACAGTCCTTGGGAAAGTAATTTCTCAGTAAGCTTACCCTTATGGGCAATCTGAGTATTGTTACCTAACAATTATATTATGTTTTAAATTTTGAGTAAAATAATAGTATTACTTAAATAAAATTAAAAAAGGTTTCTCAAATAAACTGTTACATATAACTATTTTACCTCGTGAGTATTTATTATTTTGAGTATAAATTTCCAAATCGCTTTCATTGATGGCAGCCAATGCTGAGCTGCTCATACCTGTTTGAATAACCAGAAAGTTGGTATTTAGAAAAAAAAGTTAATTAAGGTTCTAACTACATTTTAACATACCAGGTTCCGATGTTTTTAAAAGTTTCATAAGGTAATATATGCTTTCTTGGATGAGTGCGTCCAGTTCAACTTGCATTTCTTGAACTAACTTCGTATCAGGAAATAAGTCAGGAAACCGGTAACTGAAACGTAGTTTACAAAAATAAATAGAACTCCTCAAAATTCTTTATTATTATTATGCAGCAAATTTTATGTTTATATTAAAATCAATAAGGTAAGCCGGAAATAAAAATTCATTGAGTTGCCAGACAATT